TCTTCCAGACTCCCTCTGACTCCCTGTGATTACTTTCTGTCAATTAGTTGCTGGCTCCACCTCCTAACCCAAGGTTGATTTCATTTAATTAAATCAAAAGCAAACTCAGGATCACAGTGTAATCGAATAGCTCACAACAAGAAATGGTTGCTTGGGGCTCAGCAGAAGTCAGAAGGGTCCAGAAAGATTCCGGGAAATAGCTTGGGCGGGGGCTGGAAAAAGATTCTACTAGGTGTCTTCTTGGGTAAACTGTTCCCAAGAGAGCCTATTGTCTGGCTCTGTGATCAGTAGGTCATTTCTGGTTCCCTTCTGGGAGGGAGCTGGTTGTCTCCTATTTCAAAAGCAGAGAAACTAAGATTGAGACCATCCAAGAGAAAATCAACTTCATTGAGTGTAGGAGGCAAGAGAGAAAGTCTCATCAGATGTCTGAGACATTCACAGTCACACCAAGAAACCTTGGCCTGGGCATGGCCTTATTTGTGTATTCACCCACTGTCCCTTAAGGATAGGGTAGTTCCAAAGTGGGGACCTGATCCATCTCAGGGACTTCTAAAGACAAAGTGAGTGAGTATCAGCACCGAGGCAGTTACAGAAAACACCAGGGAAATGGACAGAGAGGGTGTGCTGGCCAGGGAGCCAGTCAGTGTGCTGACCAGGAAGTCAGTGTGCTAGCCATGGAGTCAGTGTGAACCTGGACATTGGCAGAGAACACTTGGTTTGCAGCAGGCTTAGCACTGTTGCACAAGTGTTATCTAAAGATGGCTCCCAAAGGCTACTGGAGGGGGATGGCTAAAACTGGGGTCTCACTCTTGTTCCCTTTTCCCTCTCCACAGGGAAGCTGAGAGAAAGTATGTCTTTGGAGCCTGGAAACCTGGAGGTCATTTCTGAGCATGAAATCTTTCAGGTCTTAAAACCCTGCTCTCAGCACCTTGGTAGAGAAGGTTCCAGAGAAGAGACTAAATGGGCTCTTCAGTTCCGGAGCCTCAGTGGCACCATCCATACTTGGAAAAGGAATCACGTTGATCACCAGAGAAGGAATTTCATCAAAACCAGGCTGCCTGCAGGGGAGGCTATGGGTGAAGAGGCTCCAGGATTGCATTTCACAGAGGCATGACTGTCCTGGAGGGAGGATGTGGCCACTGGTGTGTGGGGCAACGAGACTGCCCGGTTCTCTAGAAGATCGGCCATGCAGCCGTGCAGGGCAGAAAGCCCTGTGGTTAGTTAGACCTTGGCCAGCAATCTCCCACTTACCTCTTCCCATAACCCGCTGCAGACTTGAATTTGTTTTTAATTCTCCAGACTTGGGAGTAAAAGATCTAGTTCAGAGGCCTTGGCCTTGTGCCCTCCCTCACCCCACCACATCCCTGATTACCAAGGTGCGGACCTTGTGTGACTCACAGAGGCCTTTGGAGTTTTCTTCACTTTAGAAGGCAGCAAATGGTTTTTAATGGTGAGGTATTTGCGGAAGGATGCTAAGGCTCAATCCCCAAGATGCCTAGCTCCACGGGACTTGGAAGGCTTGACCAGTCTGGTTCTGATTACAGAACTGCGCTCACGTAGCTGGTTGAGAGCTGTTCTTTTAGTGGTGCTGAAAGTCAGGCCAGCACTGGCTGCCTGGTAGGTCGGTTGTCTACAGGCTCAGCCACCACCCTCCTTCCAGCTTAGAGACACAGGCTAAATAATTCGCTATTGCTGGGAACAAATCTCAGCAGCCACCAGCTTCCAGTTGCGCCCTCCACCGTTTCTCCACTCAGCACCTATAGTGGTCCTTTCTCCCTCTCTACTGATTTTAATTAAAAAAATATTTTTATTTTTATTTTTCTGAGATAGGGTTTCTCTGTGTAGCCCTGGCTGTCCTGGAACTCACTCTGTAGATCAAACTGGCCTTGAACTCAGAGATCTGCCTGCCTCAATCTCCGGAGTGCTTGAATTAAAGGTGTGTGCCACCACGGCTGGCTGTATGTATGTATATATACTGCCTGCCTCAATCTCCGGAGTGCTTGAATTAAAGGTGTGTGCCACCACAGCTGGCTGTATGTATGTATATATGTATGTATGTATGTATGTATGTATGTATGCATGTATATATGTATGTATAATTTTAATGTGTAGGATATTTTGCCTGCATATATGTCTAGTGCCAGATGAGGACACTGAATCCTTTGGAACTGGCAACTGGTTTTTGCCACCATGTAGGTGCTAGGAATCAAACCCCTATTTTTCTGGAGGATCAGCCAGTACTCTTAATCACTGAGCTATCTCTCCAGCCCCTCTCCTTTCTTTTTAGATATGGTCTCATGTAACACAGGCTGAGGCTGGCCCTCTGATCCTATTGCCTCTACCTTCCAAAAGCTGGGATTAATGAGTGTCACACCTTGCCCAGTGTGTGTGTCCTCAGGCTTGTTCCCTCTCTAGATGTACAAGCCAGGCAAAAGTTATATTGTGGAGCCACACACCAGCTCTAGAATGGCTCCTTCTTCCCCTATAGCCTCTTATTCCCTTTCTTTCTTTTTCTTCTATCTTTTCTTTTTTCCTCTCTCTCTCTCTCTCTCTCTCTCTCTCTCTCTCTCTCTCTCTGTCTGTCTCTCTCTCGACAAAGTCTCAGTTTGTAGTCCAGGCTGGCCCAGAACATCCTATGTAATCTGAGATAACCTAGAATCTGCAATCCTCCTCTTGTGTGTCACAAGTGCTTGGTTTACAGGTATGGGGCACCATGCCCAGCTAGAGTATTCTTTTTAAGGGGTGAAACTGATCACACCTAAAATCCATCTACAGTCTTCATATCATTCACAATAAAAAAAAAGTTCTTGCTACAGTCAAGAGACCCCTTCTCTCTGTCAATATCTAGTGCCTGTTTCCTCTCACCTGTCAGGATGGAGCCACTGCCAAGCCCTGGTTTCATTCTGGTAGATTTCAAAGAGAAAGCCATTAAGATTTGACAAGGCAGCTAGGTGGTGGCAGCTCATGCCTTTAATTCCAGCACTCAGGAGGTAGAGGCAGGCAGATCTTGGTGTTCAAACCAAGTCTACAGAGTAAGTTCTAGGACAGTCTGGGCTACACAGAGCAACCCTGTCTTGAAGAGCAAAAGCAAACAGAAAGATTTGCCAAGGGCTTGGAGGTGAATTGTGAGAGGAGCGATGAAGTCAAGGATGTCTGTGGTAGTGCTTATTGTCTAGACCTCAGTATCCTCTTGCTTCCAGAGCCACATCATGGCAAAGGTGACGGGGAGGCTCTGGTGACGCTGAACAGACCTGGCACTGCTGCTCTGATCTTGCCACCCTCTGGCACTCTTGACACTCCCTGTTTCAAGTGAGGAAACATGTCACAAATGTGAAGTGAGTGACCCAGGCCACATAGCTGGAAAGTCACCACTCCAGCCCCGAAGAAACATATGAGGCCACGGACTGCACCTTCAGCAGAGGCATTACAGTGCTGACCCTAGAATCTGACTGCCTGCGTGTAATCCCGACTCTGCCAATTACCAACAGCCTCTCTGTGCCCGTGTTTCCTCATCAGAAAAAGGCAGTGAGTTGTGACAATGCGTCCACCCTGGCTAGCATCTCTGTGAAGACTGAAGGAGAGCGTGTGTATGGTGGACTTGGCATTGTGCTGCTGTTATCACTACTGTTCTCTCTGCTCTAGGTCTGAGCTTCTCCCCTGACCATGGCAGGCAAGTCCAGAGGGTGGAGAGAAAAGCTGAGAATTTCTTGCCTCATCATCCTCCATGTGTAGGGGCAGAGAGGGCCGAGGACAGAGGAGGGGGCCTCGTGACTGCCTGGGCTGCTGAGCAATTTACTGGAGGAGCTCATTTGGCAACTCTGATTCCAAGTTAATTAAAGATGGCCACCGGGGGTCATTGCCATGGTAACAATTAGGCCAGAAAGAAGCCTCATTAAGGTGCGGTTTTAACTAGGCCAGACGTTTTTAACCTAAGATCTCTGGGAAAGGGAACTACCTTGCTTCCCTTCTCTCCTCCTTGTTCACATCCATTTCCAGATGGTTCTGGCTGAGGAAGGAGACAGAGGGTGAGTCCTGGGCTGAGTCCCTCCGAGTCCCAGCAGGGCAACAGGTTTCTCTGGGACAGTCATCCTGTCTCTGAAAGGAGCCTGGTGGGCAGAGGATGGAGGCCAGGAGGCCAGAGCAGTCAGAGAGGAAGTGGATTTTGTTCAGAGTGGTACAGGAATCTTTTTTCATAATTTGGAAGTGTGGGGGGTGAGGCTTACAGTGGGTGATAACGGGGTGCACATGAAGCTTAATTCTTCTGTGTTGAATTGAGAAAGGGTAGAAGCTTAAAGCCTGTCTCAGTTCACAGCTTTGTAATGTGTTTGAGCCAAGCATGGTGATACCCACCTCATGTCTCAGGACTGAGGCAGGAGGATCACAACAACATCTAGGCTAGCCTCAGGTACATAGTGAAGTCCCATTTCATAGCAGCACCTAGGCTAGCCTCAGCTACATAATGAAGTCCCATTTCATAGCAGCACCTAGGCTAGCCTCAGCTACATAGTGAGGTCCCATTTCAAAGCAATGCCTAAGCCAGCCTCAGCTACATAAAGAGACAGGGGTGAAATGGGGTTGTGGGGCAGGCGACTGGTGAGATGGTTCAGCTGTTAACTTGCTGCTTTTTCAACAGACCTGCCTGGGCTTGTTTCCCAAACTCACATGGCAGCTTACAAAGTCCATAACACCAGTTCCACCATTTTCTTCTGATCTCTATGAGCACCATACATACTCACAGTGCATTTCCATACATGCAGGTAAAATTTTCATACACATAAAATAAAATAAATTTTAAAAATCAAGGGGTTGGGGTTGGAGAGATGGCTCAGTGGATGAAAGTATTGGCTGCTCTTCCAGAGGACCTGGGTTTGATTTCTACCTGGTATCTCACAATGGTCTTTAACTCTAGTTCTGCTACCTTCTGCTGGCCTCCACAGACACTGCTGGGATGTGATGCACAGACATTCACAGAGGCCAAACATCCATGCACATAACAATAAGTAGGTAAATATTTTTTAAAGTTAAGGGGTTGGGGGAGCTGGATAAATCCATAAAGGGCTTTCCATATAAGCATGAGGACCTGAGTTAGGGTCTACAGACCCATAAAAGAAGCCAGGTTATTGATGGACATCTGTAGTCCCAGGTGTACTGATGGACATTTGCAATCCCAGGTGTGTTGATGGACATCTGCAGTCCCAGGTGTGTTGATGGACATCTGCAGTCCCAGGTGTGTTGATGGACATCTTCAATCCCAAGTGTGTTGATGAACATCTGCAGTCCCAGGTGTGTTGATGGACATCTGCGATCCCAGGTGTACTGATGGACATCTGTAATTCCAGGTGTACTGATGGACATCTGCAATCCCAGGTGTATTGATGGACATCTTCAACCCCTAGTGTGTTGATGGACATCTGCAGTCCCAGGTGTGTTGATGGACATCTGCAGTCCCAGGTGTGTTGATGGACATCTGCAATCCCAGGTGTCCTGATGGACATCTGCAATCCCAGGTGTACTGATGGACATCTGTAATTCCAGGTGTACTGATGGACATCTTCAATCCCAGGTTTACTGATGGACATCTTCAATCCCAGGTGTATTGACATCTGCAGTCCCAGGAGTACTGATAGACATCTGCAATCCCAGGTGTACTGATGGACATCTGCAGTCCCAGGTGTGCTGATGGACATCTGCAGTCCCAGGTGTACTGATGGACATCTTCAATCCTAAGTGTATTGACGGACATCTTCAATCCCAGGTGTGTTGATGGACATCTTTAATTCCAGGTGTACTGATGGACATCTGCAGTCCCAGGAGTATTGATGGACAGCAATCCCAATGCTGGCAAGACAGACAGGCACAGCTCTGAAGCTCACTGACCAATAAATATAACTGAACCCATGTCAATGAGAGACCCTGTCTCAAAAGGTAATGGAGGGGCCAGAAAGATGATTCACCAGTTAAGAGCATTTGTTACTCTTCCAGAGGACTGGAGTTTGGATCCCATCACTCATACAGAGGCTTACAACCATTCATAACTCCAGTTCCATGGGATCCAGTGCCCTCTTCTGACCTCCAAGGACACAAAGCATGCATGTGGTACACATACATACATGCAAGAAAACCACAGACACATGTAAAATAAAAACAAATAAGTCTTTAAAATTAAATAAATTAGCAGGGGGCTGGGGCTAGAGAGATGGCTCAGCACTTAAGAGCACTGACTGCTCTTCCAGAGGACCCTGGTTCAATTCCCAATGTCCACATGGCAGCCCACAACTGTCTATAATTCCAAGATCCAACACCCTCACACAGACATATAGGCAGGCAAAACACAAATGCACATAAAATAAAAATAAATAATTTTTTAAAAAACTAAATAAAATGGAGAGTGACTAAGGAGGATACTTGGCTTTGACCTTTGACCTCTACATTCATGTGTTCAATATGTACCTGAATGTGTACATGAATTCACCCAAGAACACATGTATGTGCACACACCACACACAAAGAAATAAAATGTATGTTTATTATTCTCCTAGTAATGTAAATGCATTGATAAAAATGAGAAGTCCCAGGACAGCACAAAAGGAGACTGTCCCCTGCTGTACCCCACCTCAGACATAATGTCTGTTGACATTTTCCATGTCATAGTTAAGCACAAGATACAGGGAGCTGTATTCAAAGAAGGGAGAAGGGGGACATGGACTTTGGTGTTTGTGCCCTTTTCCACTGTTTGTATTGTATCAGAAAAAAAATGTCAAATAAACCGCAGGGAAAATATCAACTATTGCAACACTCCTCTATGTGTAGAGATGTATCACACATTCTTTTTCTACAAAAATAGGGGTCGCTTTGTGCCTATGATTTTGAAACCTGAATTTATCATGTCAAGATAACAAGATGTCTTGAATGCTTTTCCAGGATGCTGCAACTTATCTTTTTTTTTTTTTAAAGCACATTGCAAACTATTCAAACTGAAAAGGCAAAATCAGACAAGCAAGTTTCCTACTTGAGCCTCCCTGTCCTTTGTTCCTCTCTACAGAGGCAGCCGGGAGGGTCCATTTCTTTCTATTTCTTTCCCTCCTTCTAGACCAAGCTGGCCTTGAACACACAAATAACTGAAGGTAGCCATGGACTTCTGATCCACTCACCTCCACCTCCAGAGTGCCGATATGGCAGGGGTCCTACTATACCTGGTTTTGTGCCATGTAGGAGGCTCAGAGTTTCTTGTGCTCACAGATAAGCACTAGAGAAACCAGGAATGCTAAACACACGGGGTCGTCTCTCAAAGAGGAGAGATGTACAACCTATTTTCCATCCAGAAGGCTGGGAGCAGACTTGTTTAATAGCCCGGTGACCTTTACGCTATTGTGGCTGAGATCACATTGCATCCTCCCTGGCCCCTTGTCTTGAGCTTGTTTTCTCAGTTAATCTATAGAACTCATCTTTATGGAAGATATCACTCATGCTTTACAAAGAGTTTTGATGTCGTCTTGTCTTAAGCTTTGTTGTGCTTAAGGGATTGAGTTATTTACCACCAAAAAGCTTTTCACCAAATTGTGCTGTGCTTAAATATGCCTAAAATAAACCACTCAAGGTCGGACTCTTGAAGTTTGACCAGCACTGGGTACTGAGTAGTGTTGAACTGAACCATCTTCTCACTCTCAAGAATCATCACTCTGCTGGCTGCAGTGTTCACAGAGACACCCCTAGCACCATGCTGTGGCTCAAACCCAGGGCTTTTATGCCTGCTTTTAAGAACGCTACCAAGTGAGATACATCCCCAGGGCTTTAATCAACTTCTCTTGCATTCACTCAGAAATGTTCTGTGTGGGTACAGGCACATCTATTTTCTCATATACCTATTGGTGCAACCAAGTTAGTATACAGTTCACCATGCTGTTCTGTATTTAAGTCTTTCCTGGCATGTACAGGAGTTGGCTTAATATCAGTTTGCGTAGAGCTGTTTCGATATTTTTCTAATACCTGGCAGTCTGCAGCAGCTGGGAGTCCAGGGCATGAAGAAGAGGTGGCTCTAGCCATGTAGGGCTTTGTGTCCAGTAGTCACCAGGTTGGACGGCACACAGAAGCACTCTGGAAAATGTGAATGAAAACATGGTGAGGCAGAGGGAAGGGTTTAAAGGAGTGATCAGGAACCACCACGAATGGCTCAGTGGCCTTGCTGAAAACTTTTGCTTCCTCTATTCTTGGATATGATTCTTGGATATTCTTGGACTTAAGAGCTGGCTTCCCCACAGGGACCCTTATCTTACAGATCAGGAGTCCTAGTGGCAGGACATCCTTGGACACCTCATCATGGGTCAAAGCTCATTGAAGTCACCAAAGACTCAGTCCTCCATTTCTTTCCTTCATACTGGCTTTATCTTCATTAATATTCTCATGATCACAGGATGGCTGCCAGCAGTCACCAGTGTCACTGAGGGTATGTGGTTTCCCACAAAGAGTGAATTATGCTCCACCATAACCACAGAGCCATAATTATCCAAAGGAGAGAGCCATCCACTGACTGGCATGGATCAGCCATTTTTAATCCTGCCAATTCAGTGTTGCCTATCCATAACAAATGTTCCTGTCCCAATGAAAACTATAGAAAACAGGGGACTTGAGAGATAGCTCAGCAGTTAAGAACATTTGCTGCTCTTGTAAAGAACCTGGATTCAATTTCCAGCACCTACAAAGTGCCTTACAACTATCTGTAACTCTGGATTTAGGGGATCTAATGCCCTTTTCTGGCCTTGTGGGCACCAGACACATGTGGCACACAGATATACATGCAGACAAAAACACTTATGAGCATAAAATCAAAATAAATAAAATCTTCAAAAATATCAATACAAAGTTCTAACTATTAAAAAACAAAAATAAAAGACTGGCATGGTGGCATAAACCTGCAGTACAAATAATTTTGGAGCGTTGGGGAAAGAGGATATGAGTCTGGTAGTTTGTGGACAGCTTGGGAAATATAGCCAGATAATCTGCATCTGCCCAGCCCTGTGACAGTTAATCTTCATTGTCCATTTAATGATTTAGAGTCACCAAGGAGACACAATTCTGATATGTCTGTAGAGGGTGTTTCTGTTCCACTATACAGAAATATAAATTAAACTTACAACTGAACCTTGCTAGATAGTAATGGGAATGTTTGTTGCACAGCTGGGGCATGCAGCTAGATATTGCATCACCCCTCTATTGTACAGCTTACACTTAGGCGAGTGTGGACATCACGGTGACCAGGTTTGTGGACATCAAGGTGGTACTTTGCTGCTACTGTATGTCTTGCAACTCACAATGACTCTGCCTGCCCTGTGTACACTTGTCACCTGGGCCAGGGCAGGCTTTGCTGTGAGGATGTGTGGAAGTACCTGAAGCCCCAAGAAACTTGCTTCTGGCAGGGATGTGATTCCATGCTCCCTGGTGGCTGACCCAGCCCCAGAAGTATAGCCAGGCCCTACTCCTCCCCTCCTTTGGGTATCCCTGCTCCCAATATATTAAGTATGTTATAATGTTTATAGAGCTGGAGAGATGGCTCAGCAGTAAAGAGCCCTGGGTTTACTTTAGAGGATCTGAGTTCGGTTCTCAGCACAGACATGGTAGAGCACAACTGTCTGTAACTTTTATAGAGCTGGAGAGATGGCTCAGCAGTAAAGAGCCCTGGGTTTACTTCAGAGGATCTGAGTTCGGTTCTCAGCACAGACATGGTAGTGCACAACTGTCTGTAACGCCAGTCCCGGGGCATCTAGTGCCCTCTTCTGGCCTCCAGGGATACTGCGTGTACCTGGTGCAGGGAAAACACCTGTATACACATTAAAACAAACAAAAACCCACTTACATTACATATAATCTCTGGGTTATGGACCATTTGACCAATGGGCATCTGTCAGCATTTAATTAAACATGTGTTCATCTGGATATTTCCAGGTGCAAGCCATGCTTTAGTTTTATTGTTTATATATTTTGTAGCCCCTGAAAACATAAACCAAGCCCAGTGCTGTTCCCTGCTGTTGGAGAGGAGTCTTCTCACTCTACCTTGCCCTGCTTCCACTGTCTGGCCCCAGGACCTATGTCTAGCTTCAGAAGTCTTTATCTCTGTCTCTCCAAGACACACCATCCAGCTCTTAAGTGAGTTTAATTTAATTTAATTTGTTTTTGTTTGTTTGTTTGTTTGTTTGTTTTTTGAGGCAGGGTCTCTCCGTGTAGCCCTGGCTGTCCTGGAACTTGCTCTGTAGACCAGGCTGGCTTCAAACTTAGAGATCCACTTGCCTCTGCCTCCTGAGAGTTAAAGGCACATGCCACCACGCCTGGCTAAGTGAGTTTAATTCTAATTTTTTGTTATTATTATTTTCAAAACATGTATACCCATGTGTGTCTGTTTGTGGGTGTGTGCGTGTAAGTGCAGCTGTCCTCAGAGGTCAGAGGCACTGGATCCTGGGATATGGGCCCACAGGTGATTGTGAGCTACAGGATGTGAGTGCTAGGAACTGAACCTCTATCCTCTGGAAGTTGTAAGCACTCATAACTGCTGAGCCATCTCTCTAGCCCCTGTGAGCTCATTTTAAATACTCTACAATTATCGATTTAATAATTTTAGTTTAATTCACATTTCAGAAAGATTTTAATTTTTGTTGTTGTTTAAATGGCTCAAAATTAAAGACAGAAATTTTTCTATTTCTGCTCTGTGCCCAGCCTAGATTAACCCTGAAGGAAACTAAACCCCAGAGTTTTTGTATATTTTCCATAATGCATTCTACAGAATTTACCAGTATATGTATGCTAATTCTTTATTGGAAGAACATTCACCTCTTTACCCTTGAAAATATTTCCTTTACCTTTAAAAAGTATTATTTGTGCTACATCCATGTAAGTGCACCATGTTTTCATTGTTTGTTTTGGTGACAGCATCTCATGTATCCTGGGCTGGCCTCAAATTCAAGTCTATCCTTGACCGTCAGAGCTTCCTCCTAAGCGTTTGTCTTACAGACTTGTTCCACAACACTCTGTTTGCATTTGTGTGGGTGTGTGTGTGAAATAAATAAATAAATAAATAAATAAATAAATAAATAAATAAATGGTCTCTTCATCTTCATTCCTTAATTTTTTTGTTTTGTTTCTTGCTGTGCAACTCCAGCTGGAATGTTCTCTGTAGCCCAGACTGGCTTGGAGCTTGCTCTCCTCCTGCCTCAGCCTCCGGAGCGCTGGTGTAGGCATGTGTCACCACGTCCAGCTAAACTTTCATTACTCTTCCTACCCTCTTCCATTGTGTGGCCCCACGGGATCTTTAGTCTAGGACTGAAAATCAAAATCCCTATTTCCACACACCCTCATGACCCAGAGTGCCCAGGTCATCCAGGCTGCTTAGTCCTGTGCCTCCTGGTGCATCTGCCAGGCTAAGCTACCGGGTCTGGAATTTGATCTCCAGGCAGCGGGACAGACACCCACACCCACAGAGGGCTTCCGATGAGCAATGGAGTCCGATTGCTTTGTCACAGCGACACGTCGTGGTGGACCTCAGAAGTACAGCAGGGTCTGAACAGTGGGGGCGGGGGCTTGGGGTACATTTGACCTTGGGCGGCACCATGATCTGGAAGTCTCCTAGAGTCCATCACTCCAGCATGCACCTCTCTACCCAGGATCTCTCCTTGTGTGCAAATACCCGAGTCATGTGGCTCTGTAATCCACCTTCCCGCCATCCGGACTACCTGTTCGTGCACCTATCTAGTGATTGGCAGATTTGTATCTTGGTGTGTGTGTGTGTGTGTGTGTGTGTGTGTGTGTGTGTGTGTAGCATACATCCGTTTCTCTGTGTAACAGTAACAGTCCTGGTTGTCCTGGACCTCGCTTTGTAGACCAGGCTTGTCTCGAATTCATTGAGATCCGCATGCCTCTGCCTCCCAAGTGCTGGGATTAAAGGCTTGAGCCACTATTTCCCTTCTGTTTTTTGGCTTCTTGAGAAAGGACATCATACAGTTGAGGCCCGCCTTGAACTCCCTGTCTTCTGGGATTACAGGCATGTGCCACCATGCAGGGCTCAGAAGCAGGTTTGTGTGTCTGTATGTCTGTTTTCTGATTTTGTTTCCATTAGCATCATTTTTTCTGTATGAGACAAAATTATAGACAGTAATAATCACAAATGAATAGCTATAAGTGGACAGCAACCAAAATATTATTTTACTAAATTTTGTGTATTAACTTATGATGCTTGAAAAATTAATATACTAAGAAATAATTATAGTAAAAAAAAGAAAAATAATGACCAAATGCTTTCAGTGGAATTCTTTTTAAAATTATTTTTATTACTTTTTGTGCATGGGTGTTTAGCCTGCACATATGTCTATGTACCATGAGCATGTATGGTGCTGGAAGAGGCCAGCAAAGGCATTGAATTCCCTCAGAACTAAAATTATAGCCATTTGTGAGCCACTGAGTGGGTGCTGGAAATTGAACCCGGGCTTTCTTAAAGAACAGCCAGTGCTCATAACCACTGAACCATCTCTCCAGCCCCTGAAATTAATTTCTTGATAAAGAGAGGAGGCAATACTCACTCCTTGTTCTGTCCCAGTACTAAAAAACAACAGATTAGAATTTCATGATACTATAAGACTAACATTTTGAAAAGGAGAAACTTCAAATTTTTTTATAATTTACTTAAATTTTTATGTACATAGGTGTTTTGCCTGCAGGCATGTCTGTATGTAGGACTCAGATACCCTGAAACTGGAATTACAGACTGCTACCAGCTGACATGTGGGTGCTGGGAATTGAACCTGGGTCCTCTGGAAGAGCAGCCAGTGCTCTTAACTGTTGAGCCATTTCTCTGGCTCAGAAACTCCAATTTTTAAGCCTACTCTTCAAGTGCATTAAATGTTTTCTGCATAATCTGCAATTTGTACTTTCCAAGCAAAACTGTTAGAGCCTTAGAGCTCACTTTCTTGTCCCACTGGAAACTTTTTGGGAGCTGGAATGGAACCCAGGGCTTCTTCCCATGCATTCTGCCACTGAGATGCACCCTTGGCTCTTTCATTTTCCTAGAATGTGGTGCTAGGGATCAACCCAGGCATGGGTGTGCTCGGTGTGGG